CCTGGTGGGGCAGTGGTTGAGAGTCCGCCTGTCGATGCAGGGGACACGGGTTCGTGCCCCGGTCTGGGAGGATCCCACATGCCGTGGAGCGGCTGGGCCCGTGAGCCATGGCCGCTGAGCCTGCGCGTCCGGAGCCTGTGCTCCGCAACGGGAGGGGCCACAACAGTAACAGGCCCGTGTACAGCAAAAAAAAAAAAAAAGTTAAAAAATCTACAAACAATAAATGCTAGAGAGGGTGTGGAGAAAAGGGAACACTCTTGCACTGTTGGTGGGAAGGTAAATTGATACAGCCACTATGGAGAACAGTATGGAGGTTCCTTAAAAAACTAAAAATAGAACTACCATATGATCCAGCAATCCCACTACTGGACATATACCCTGAGAAAACCATCATTCAAAAAGAGACATGCACCACAATGTTCATTGCAGCACTATTTACAATAGCCAGAACATGGAAGCAACCTAAATGTCCATCAACACATGAATGGCTAAAGAAGATGTGGCACATATATACAATGGAATAGTACTCAGCCATAAAAAGAAACGAAATTGAGTTATTTGTAGTGAGGTGGATGGACCTAGAGTCTGTCCTACAGAGTGAAGTAAGTCAGACAGAGAAAAACAAATACCAAAACATATATATGGACTCTAAACAAAAAAATGGTTCTGAAGAACCTAGGGGCAGGACAGGAATAAAGACTCAGATGTAGAGAATGCACTTGAGGACACAGGGAGGGGGAAGGGTAAGCTGGGACAAAGTGAGAGAGTGGCATGGACATATATACACTACCAAATGTAAAATAGATAGCTAGTGGGAGGCAGCAGCATAGCACCGGGAGATCAGCTCGTGCTTTGTGACCACATAGAGGGGTGGGATAGGGAGGGTGGGTGGGAGACACAAGAGGGAGGGGATATGGGGATATATGTATAAGTATAGCTGATTCACTTTGTTATACAGCAGCAACTAACAACAACGTAAAGCAATTATACTCCAATAAAGATGTTAAAAAAATAGTACATTAAAAAAAAATCATGGTGGATAATATTTGATTTTTTTAACCAATAAAGAAGTCAATATAAGGCTTTTCATGGAAATTAATGTAAGAATTGGAAAAATAAATTCTTTATAAACTAATAAAAAAAAGGCTAACTGGACAACAAATCAATGCTAATTAAATTAAGGTGGTTCCTCCGCAGGCTGTTAGATTAACAAAGAAGTCTGGCAATACCACGTATGTCAAGTATATAGGAAGAAAAACTCTCAAGTATAGCTGGTGGGAGTATAACTTTGTATAATCACTTTGGAAGGCATTTGGCAATATTTAATATAATTAAAGATGCACATACCCTACCTCCCAGCATTTCCACTTCTAGATGTATACCCTGAAGAAATTATCATGAATGTCTACAATGAGACATGTTCAGGGTGTATACCACATCATTTTCTGCAATAGCAATAAAATGTACCAAATGTAGGAGAAGGGATGAATGAATAATGATATGTGTGTGTAATAAAATATATATCATCGTTAAACACAAATAAAGCATTATGTGTTTTATAGTGTGTGTACTATAAATATTTAAATAACATATATAACACTGCACTACAGGTAAAATGAATGAGCCAGTCTACATTTATAAACAAAGAAAAACCCAGATAACATAATGTTGAGAGAAAACACATGTTGCAGAAGAATGTCTATAACACGATACCCATGTAAATGTTAAACACAATATTCTGTTTTATAGAAACATACATATACCTATGTTTTATATTTTTAAAATATATTTTATAGAAATACACAGGTATGCATATATATAATAAGAGTATAAAAATATGGATGGAAAGGACAGCTTCAGAAGAGTGGTTCACCCATTGGGAAGGAGAGAATGAAATAGAATCAAAAAGGGAATAAAAAAGAAGCCTTAATTCTCTCTGTCAGGATTTATTTCTTAATAAAAGCAGATGTGAAGTAAATATGGTTTTTAACATTCACTGTATCTGGAGAGTAGCTATAACATGTTTCATCACTGGCACTAGATATATTTCCCTCTGTACTGTTCTTGTTTAAAATATTTCATAATTAGAAAAATCATGTTTAGGGACTTCCCTGGTGGTCCAGTGGTTAAGAATCTGCCTGCCAATGCAGGGAACACGGGTTTGATCCCTGGTCCGGGAAGACCCCACATGCCACAGGGCAACTAAGCCCATGTGCCACAACTACTGAGTCTGCACTCTAGAGCCGTGAGCAGCAACTACTGAGCCCATGAGCCACAACTACTGAAGCCTGCATGCCTAGAGCCCGTGCTCCACAACAAGACAAGCTGCTGCAATGAGAAGCCCGTGCACCACAACAGAGTAGCCCCCGCAACTAGAGAAAACTCACGTGCAGCAATGAAGACACAGTACAGCCAAAAAAAAAAAAAAAAAGAAAAGAAAAAGAAAGAAAGAAAGAAAAGAAAAATCATGTTTAAACGAGGAGAGAAAATCCTCCATAATGTGGGTGGGCCTCATGTAATCAGTTAAAAGCCTTCACAGGACAAAGACTGACCTTCCCTGAGCAAGGAAGAATCTGCCAGGGGGTGGACAGCCTCTGGATCTGAGCCACCAATCTGGCCATTCTCCCTCTGGCTGGCCTGCCCAGCAGGTTTCGGACCCACCAAGCCTGGGACAGAGATGGGGGGGTCTCTGCTCCTCTCTGCCACTGCGCTGAGTGGTGGCTGGCACTCCCTCAGGTTCTGTGCCTGGTCTTCCTCTCTTACCATCTTCCCAACTCACCCCTGGAAAGTCTCATCCCCTCCATGCTTTTAATTATGGGCTAACGATCCAATCTATTATCTCGGAGGGTTGACCCATTAATCTGATTGCCAAATGGATACTTTCACACAACGGCCCCCCAAAACATTCAAACTCATCATATCCCAAACGAGTGCACTGTCTCCCTCCCCTAAGTCCCTGCATCCTCCTGGGTTCCTGTCTCACCAACAGCGTGCAGCTTCCACCCACCCCACAAGCCAAAGGCCCAGCAGCCCTCCCTTCCCTGGTCTCCTCCTACCCAGCCCCATCCTTACCCAAAGCTAATTAAGAGAAAGGGGTGAAATAGAAACTTCTGTGGGGTGGAAGATTAGGTGGCCAAAACAGTAATTTAGGAAGGGTGATTAACGGAGTGCATGACAATGAATGGAATATGGCAAACCAATAAAGAAGAGCTTCCATGCCGCTATTTCAAAACAGGCTTCCTGATAAATAAACAATTATATTTCCAAAAGATAAGATGTGATCCATCTTCTCTTTGTGATAGAAATGTGAAATTTTGTCTTCTTAAAACTGAAGATAATGATTTACATTGACTACCTGGCTGTGTATTTATTTATTATTACCTTATTTTATTGTATCATATTATTTGCTTTGTTTATAACTATGATGTTTGTATAAATAAAAATAACTCAATAACAATTAATAAATTATATGTAAAACTCAAGAGTCTTATTTTTTAACCAAAGCTTCAACTAGATTTTTAGTCTGACTGTGTCTTCCTAGCTTGTAGCAACTGTTTCAAACAGATCTGCCCATTGAAGTATCAGGATTTTTAATAACACCAACACTTTGAATTTCTCACTCCCTGCTGTTAAAAAAGCTACCACCCTTTCAATCAGGGATGACAGCATCTTCTGCCCAGTGACACAGAAGCTACAAAGTGGCTGATTTCCTCACTGCTTATCTTAAAAAGGAAAAAAAAACAGGCAATGTGGGGCAGCGGAGTTGACCATGACAGACGGGTCACTGACCATGTTCTTTCTATTCATCTTCTGATGCTGTCGTCACTCTTTCCCCCAGTGTCTTCAGAGCAGAATGGAAAGGAAGGACCTGGTCCCGGGAGGGCTGGGCTGGGGGGCTCCTCTGGGGATGGACAATTACAAAACCTAAATCGCCAAAGAACATGCACTTTCCAGGAAAACTAGGCTGCTGTGCTGTACCTGTAAAGGCAGCTCTTTGGCAATGAGCCTACCGCAGATAACGTGGTTCTTTTTAGAGGAGTTTGCCATGCTGTGTGTTTGGGAGCTTGTTTTTGTGGCTTTATTTATGTGTGAGACGATCCTACTGAAAAGAGAGTAAGTAGCATTAAACATAACTCAAACCGAGATACCCGTTAGGACAAGTGTGTTCCATGAGAGGATGTGATCTCTGTCTCAAAGCTGTCGTTGGGACTTCCCTGACAGTCCAGTGGTTAACCCTCCGTGCTTCCACTGCAGGGGGCACGGGTTCAATCCCTGGTTGGGGAACTAAGATCCGGAGTACCGCACCGTGCGACCAAAAAAAAAAAAAAGCTTTTGTTGTCCACGGGACCAGTGAGTCCAACCCAACCACAGACCTCGTGGAAGCCAATCGAGGCAGGAAGCCACCTCCTTCTCTTGAAGTTCAAGAAACGGAGAGGTCGGTGAGGCAGGCGCTGGGTAAACAGAGTCTTGGATGAGCCTAGCTTCGAGGGTCGAATGAAGACGTGCTTTACGAGCTGACCTCTGCTCAGCCCCCAACAGACGCACTTCGCAGCCTTAACCGCATGGGTCAACTTTTAAGCTCAAGATCACAAAGTCCCACCCCTTCCCTTAACAGATGAGGAAAGTGAGGCTCAGATAAACGGAATCACTGCGGAGAACGATGATCAAGGTCACTCAAGGTCACTCAGCCCGAGACCTTCCGGCCACCCACAGAGGCCACACCAGCCCCTCCCTGGGTGGGGGACGGATGACAGCGCTGCCATCTGGGGCCGTCCCAAGGGGCCTGCCTTCCCTCCGCCCTGAAGATAACTACTGGCCCCACACAAAAGGAGATCTTTGTTTTTTATTTTTCCATACTCCTAACAGAGAAGGATTTTTAGTTTTTATTTCAGAGGAAAAGGCTTTAGACAGTTGTGTTTCATTAAATCAATATTTGGTTTCTCTTGGTTATTTTAAATATCATCTTCCCCCACACGAGAATATGAAAAAAATCATGTAATAGCAATAACCAGGAGAAAATAATTTTATATTTAGTGAAGATAAGGGATGGGGGTTTCTGCTGTGATATCACTGCATTTTTCTTTTTTCTTTTAACATCTTTATTGGAGTATAATTGCTTTACAATGTGGTGGTGCCCGTCCGGGGTGATGAATCACCCCTGTGCTGGGAGCCACCGTGGCGTGGGCCTCTGGTTGTGAGACAGCAGCTCCCTGAGAAAGCCGGGAAAAGCTGCTCTGTGAGAACAAGGTCAGAGCCTCTTCAGGGGCAGCTCAGGTGAAAGGCAGCCCTGACCCTGCGTGCCTGGAGGCCGAGCCGGCTCACCCACTACCAGGGGCGGGGCCGTGCACTCACCGTGGAACCATGGGGCGATGCTGTCCGAGGTGCCCAGGTAGCCGGCCCGCAGCGGGAGCTGCTCCTCCCGGAACCAGCGCACGATGTCCGCATGGGCCGAGTGGGACGCCGGCCTTGCCGCTGCCTGGTTTCTGACATTCATGAAGGGTTTCAAGTTAGATTCAACTTATTGGAAAATAATGCTTTCAAAAATCACACACACACGCAGAGAGTATAACACGTCTGAAGATCTGGCCTCGCAGCTGAGCTCACGGGGTGTGACCCTGCGCACGGCTGTCACACGGTTCCTTCAGGGCAGGGAATAGAAGGGAGCAGATCTGTCACATGCCCTTCCAGTCCTGCAGGCTAGCCATGAGCTGCTGCTGTACCGACACACAGATTTTAATTCATTTTTAATATGAATGAGAAGCTCCATTAATTAAAATTTGACAAAATGAGCATTAAAAAGTGAAATACACCCCCAGCCATATTTTCCTGGAGAGCATGTACTTGCAAAAGGAGGAAACCAGATGCAATAGAATAAACTTTCTCCCTAACACTTTCATCATTCACTTTCTTCATCTTTCTGTTGCCACTAACCTCTCTGACTTGCTTCCTTCTCTCCCATACTTTGAAGAGTTCTGCTAAAAGGCAGTCTCAGAAATAAAAAGTAAAAGCAAGAGGAGTGTTTGAAGATAGGTTAAGAGAAAGATACAGGCAGCAGAATGGATTTGAAATAAATTCAGTAGCAGAACTTAAGTCAATTTCCACTATAAAAACTAATACTGCAGTGTAACAAATATATTCCCAAGTTCCAGGCCCACAAATTCTGAGCAGAATTCAATGTAAAAACAACAAGTTTGGATGAGCTACCGGAATATCCTGCCATGTAAATTACGTTCTTTATGCTTTTTTATGGTAACACATGCTACCAGGAGTTACATGTGACATACATGTCAGATATATACATGTGATGTATATGCATGCACATACATACATAGCATTTTGGAGAAAACAGCTTATAATACTTGACTTTCCAAGGGAGCAGACACTGCACACACATGAGATTACATGTTAAGGTCTCCTCCCGGCCTTCAGATTAGGTTCTGTTCTTCGGGAAATCTTTGGAGGTAAAGCAGAAACTCCAAGGACAGCCTGTGTCTGTTTTTCCCTGGGCTGGCTCCTAGCTGACCTTGGTCATCACTGTTTGAAGTCCCAGCCCTGAAACCATCCGGTCTGGCCACCTCACAAAAAGCACTTCATGCAAGTGGCTTAAGTTGGAAAAAATGAGCTACTGGAGCTTAAAACATCGGCTTAAAACCCTCATTAAAAGGCACCTTCAGGGCTTCCCTGGTGGCGCAGTGGTTGAGAGTCCGCCTGCCGATGCAGGGGATACGGGTTCGTGCCCTGGTCCAGGAAGATCCCACATGCCGTGGAGTGGCTGGGCCCATGAGCCATGGCCGCTGAGCCTGCGCGTCCAGAGTCTGTGCTCCGCAACGGGAGAGGCCACAATAGTGAGAGGCCCGCGTACCACAAAAAAAAAAAAAAAAAAAAAAGGCACCTTCATTGCTGTCAGTCACATAAGCTGTGCTCTAAAAATACTGTGGGTGCGGGTGTATGACAAGCTCTATTCCACCCTTGGGGGAGCCTGGAGAGGCACATAGCCTGCGGGGACCTGAGGCCCGACACAGTGACAGGCTCGGGTGTGGGAGGCACCTGCGCAGGAGTTCACACTCCGTGCCCCAGGCACAACGTTGAGGGGCCTCTCTTGTTGTCATAAGGAAAAAATCGTTCCCCAAACTGTCACTCTGTAGAACATGGTCAGTTAGTGCTTGTCCCCAAGTCCCCAGATGGAACCTTTCAACTGAGTAAGTATAAATAATCATAGAAGAGGAAATGGTCCACCTCCTGCTTCCTCTGAGGACAGAATCCCCATTAGGAAAAAGCCCTGAAGATAACTACTGACCCCACACAAAAGGAGACCTTTGTTTTTTATTTTTCCATACTCCTAACAGAGAAGGATTTTTAGTTTTTATTTCAGAGGAAAAGGCTTTAGACAGTTGTGTTTCGTTAAATCAATATTTGGTTTCTCTTGGTCATTTTAAATATCATCTTCCTCCAGACCAGAATATGAAAAAATCATGTAATAGCAATAACCAGGAGAATATAATTTTATATTTAGTGAATATAAGGGATGGGGGTTTCTGCTGTGATATCACTGCATTTTTCTTTTTTCTTTTAACATCTTTATTGGAGTATAATTGCTTTACAATGTTGTTTTAGTTTCCGCTGTATAACAAAGTAAATCAGCTATATGTATACATGTATCCCCATATCCCCTCCCTCCTGAGTCTCCCTCCCACCCTCCCTATCCCACCTCTCTAGGTGGTCACAAAGTACGAGCTGATCTCCCTGTGCTATGCTGCTGCTTCCCACTAGCTATCTATTTTACATTTGGTAGTGTATATATATCCATGCCACTCTCGCACTTCATCCCAGCTTACCCTTCCCCCTCCCCGTGTCCTTAAGTCCACTCTCTACATCTGCATCTTTATTCCAGTCCTGCCCATAGGTTCTTCAGAACCTTTTTTTTTTTTAGATTCTATATATGTGTGTTAGCATACAGTCTTTGTTTTTCTCTTTCTTACTAACTTCACTCTGTATGACAGATTCTAGGTCCATCCACCTCACTACAAATAACACAAATTTGTTTCTTTCTATGGCTGAGTAATATTCCATTGTATATATGTGCCACATCTTCTTTAGCCATTCATCTGTCGATGGACATTTAGGTTGCTTCCATGTCCTGCCTATTGTAAATAGTGCTGCAATGAACATTGTGGTACATGTCTCTTTTTGAATGATGGCTTTCTCAGGGTATATGTCCAGTAGTGGGATTGCTGGGTCGTATGGTAGTTTTACTTTTTGTTTTTTAAAAAACCTCCATATGGTTTTCCATAGTGGCTGTATCAATTTACCTTCCCACCAACAGTGCAAGAGGGTTCCCTTTTCTCCACACCCTCTCTAGCATTTACTGTTTGTAGATTTTTTTTTTTTTTTTTTTTTTTTTTGCGGTACGCAGGCCTCTCACTGTTGTGGCCTCTCCCGTTGCGGAGCACAGGCTCCGGACGCGCAGGCTCAGCGGCCATGGCTCACGGGCCCAGCCGCTCCGCAGCATGTGGGATCTTCCCGGACCGGGGCACGAACCCGTGTCCCCTGCATCGGCAGGCGGACTCTCAACCACTGCACCACCAGGGAAGCCCATTTGTAGATTTTTTGATGATGGCCATTCTGACCGGTGTAAGGTGATACCTCTTTGCAGTTTTGATTTGCATTTCTCTAATGATTAGTGATATTGAGAATCCTTTCATGTGTTTGTTGGCAATCCATATATCTTCTTTGGAGAAATGTCTATTTAGGTCTTCTGCCCACTTTTGGATTGGGTTGTTTGATATTGAGCTGCATGAGCCTCTTGTATATTTTGGAGATTAATCCTCTGTCAGTTGCTTCGTTTGCAAATATTTTCTCCCATTCTGAGGGCTGTCTTTTCGTCTTGTTTTGGTTTCCTTTGCTGTGCAAAAGCTTTTAAGTTTCATTAGGTCCCATTTGTTTATTTTTGTTTTTATTTCCATTACTCTAGGAGGTGGGTCAAAAAGGATCTTGCTGTGATTTATATCATAGAGTGTTCTGCCTATGTTTTCCTCTGAGAGTTTTATAGTGTCTGGCCTTACATTTAGGTCTTTAATCCATTTAGAGTTTATTTCTGTGTATGATGTTAGGGAGTGTTCTAATTTCATTCTAATTTCAACTGTAGCTGTCCAGTTTTCCCAGCACCACTTATTGAAAAGGCTATCTTTTCTCCATTGTATATTCTTGCTTCCTTTATCAAAGATAAAGTGACCATATGTGCGTGGGTTTATTTCTGGGCTTTCTAACCTGTTCCATTGATCTATATTTCTGTTTTTGTGCCAGTACCATACTGTCTTGATTAATGTAGCTTTGTAGTATAGTCTGAAGTCAGGAAGCCTGATTCCTCCAGCTCCATTTTCCTTTCTCAAGATTGCTTTAGCTATTTGAGGTCTTTTGTGTTTCTACACAAATTGTGCAATTTTTTGTTCTAGTTCTGTGAAAAATGCCATTGATAGTTTGATAGAGATTGCCTTGAATCTGTAGATTTCTTTGAGTAGTATAGTCATTTTCACAATGTTGATTCTTCCAAATCAAGAACATGGTATATCTCTCCATCTGTTTGTATCATCTTTAATTTCCTTCATCAGTGTCTTATAGTTTTCTGCATTCAGGTCTTTTGTCTCCTTAGGTAGGTTTATTCCTAGCATAAAATATTCCTATTTTATGCTATTTGTTGCAACGGTAAATGGGAGCGTTTCCTTAATTTCTCTTTCAGATGTTTCATCATTAGTGCATAGGAATGAAAGAGAGTTCTGTGCATTAATTTTGTATCCTGCTACTTTACCAAATTCATTGATTAGCTCTAGTAGTTTTCTGGTAGCATCTTTAGGATTCTCTATGTATAATATCACGTCATCTGCAAACAGTGACAGTTTTACTTCTTCTTTTCCGATTTGGGTTCCTTTTATTTCTTTTTCTTCTCTGATTGCTGTGGCTAAAGCTTCCAAAACTATGTTGAATAATAGTGGTGAGAGTTGGCAACTTTGTCTTGTTCCTGATCTTAGTGGAAATGGTTTCAGTTTTTCACCACTGAGAATGATGTTGGCTGTGGGTTTGCACTGTAGTTTTATTCAGGGATTTTCCAAAACAAATTGTTCTGCCTAATACCCTCCACAGCCTAGGAGGCAAAGGGACCACCATGGCCAAATAAAGTCTTCATTTAAAAAAGAAACATTTCCAGCTGCTGCATAGCACAGGGAGATCAGCTCAATGCTTTGTGATGACCTAGAGGGGTGGGGTAGGGAGGGTGGGAGGGAGGCTCAAGAGGGAGGGGATATAGGGATGTATTTATACATATAGCTGATTCACTTTGTTGTACAGCAGAAACTAACACAACATTGTAAAGCAATTGTACTCCAATAAAGATATTAAAAAAAAAAAAGAAAAGAAACATTTCCAAATTCTCAATCTATGAGCTTGGCTGTATATCCCAGAATGAGAATTATCATCAAATCTTTAATCCTGAGCAGAGGAAGTGTAGCTCTGCTCATGATGTGAAGCCCGGCAAGCCTGGGTTCCTACTGTGATGACCCCCCCGTTGTCCCCCCTCCGCTCACTGGCTGTCACCAGGTGGGGGTGAGCTGGGCTGGTGGCACAGGACCTCGCTGAGCATCTTCACGAAATTCCTGGCTGTGTTAATGGTACCCACAGCGGGGATTTTACAGATGAGGGGAGATGAAGGGCTGCCCAGGTGTCTCAGAATCACAGACTCAGAGGTGGAGCCGGATTGAATGGCACCAGTAGGCTCTCTCCCCGCAGCGGCCACGCAATTCATCTTATTTTAATCAGCCATTTCACCGCTTATGCTTAAAGCCACCTGCATGGCTTCTTACCTGAGAGGTCTGCAGGGGTGTCCCGAAGGGCTCAGGAACTGAGGCTTGGGTGGAAGGGGGGGCCTCCGAGGCTTCTGGGGGCCGCCAAGGGGGCTCTGTGGCCCCTCGCCGCCTCTCCCCCTCTGGGACAGCCTCTTGTAGTCCTCCCGCGCCTGTTTTGCCAGGGAGCGCCTCCTCTCATCAGCTGCCTTGGATTTTCGCACTAGAAAAACAGTGGGGTTTGAGAAAGGCCCTCATGAGCCACGGAGATATTTAGAAGAATCAGCACCTCAGACGGTGAACAGAACGGACTCTGGTAACAATGAACAGGCACCAGCAATGCCTAGCATTAAAGACCCTAACGCAGGATGTAAGAATAAGCTTTACTGAGTGTATCTGTACTTCAGACTTTATTGATCAGAATCTGTTATGTTTGATTTCACAGAAATGCCTGAAGTCTTCCATTACACTAAGATTTCACTGCATATAAGTGATTGGATCTGGTAAACATTTTCACTTCACAAAAATTGTCATTTTAATGGTGTGATTGTGATGGAATTCCCAACATTCTGCAAACACAGCCGCCCCTGTTCTCCTCCTGTTGCTTCAAGGGATGACCGGGCAGTTAGGGTGTCTTTGTCCAAGTCAGATGGAAGCTCTAATCCTGTTTCAAACCCAAATCTTCCCAGCATCCTCACACATGCTCTGCTCTGCCTTCATCTGCACTGGCCTCTCCCTAGGAGGACGATCTCTGGGAAGTGCTAACTCAGAATGGGGCAGGGTTGAGCCATAGGTGTGGAAGGGATGCTGACACATCCAGCCTGTTACACCTGTGTTCTTCTGATTACAAAGTTAAGATGTGTTCACTGTTGAAAACTGAGAAAAATACAGAAAAACGAGAAGAATTCCAATAAATAACCTTGAATCCTGCCTCTCCAAGAAAACTAATGTTAATATGTTAACCTGCCACTTCTTTTCCCTCATATACTTAGACATTTTTAAGTAGGGATATTTTTCATACTATTTTATAATGATTTTTCTTCTCCAAGCTAAAAAGATATAAACACAGGGCTTCCCTGGTGGCGCAGTGGTTGGGAGTCCGCTTGCCGATGCAGGGGACACGGGTTCGTGCCCCGGTCCGGGAGGATCCCATATGCCGCGGAGCGGCTGGGCCTGTGAGCCATGGCCGCTGGGCGTGCGCGTCTGGAGCCTGTGCTCCGCAGCGGGAGAGGCCGCAGCAGTGAGAGGCCCACGTACCGCAAAAAAAAAAATAAAAAAATAAATAAATAAAATTAAAAAATAAAAAGATATAAACACATTCCAAGGACTTTAAACACTCTTCTAAAACATTTTTTCATAGCTAAATACCATTTCATCATATACATACATCATAATTTTGATTACAAAGATGAATTGAGAACCTTTCTGCCATTCAATGTTTAGATGAGAACCTTTCTGCTATTCAATGTTTAGATGGCTCTGTAGCCTTTGAGTAATAGTTTAGTGTTAAAACATCTCTCAGGCTTCCCTGGTGGCGCAGTGGTTGACAGTCCGCCTGCCGATGCAGGGGACACGGGTTCGTGCCCCAGTCCGGGAAGATCCCACATGCCGCGGAGTGGCTGGGCCCATGAGCCATGGCCGCTGAGGCTGCACGTCCGGAGCCTGTGCTCCGCAATGGGAGGGGCCACAACAGTGAGGGCCCGTGTACCGCAAAAAAAAAAAAAAAAAAAAAAAAATCTCTCAACAACCACTCTAAGTGCTTCCTAGATGGATCATCTTATTCTGTGAACAAACTAGCTTAGTGTCACTGTTATGGAGGCCTCTGGGTACTCACAAGAGGCCTGCCACTCCGAATCTTCTTTCCAGCTCTTATAAATCTGCTTGGTTCTCTCTTCATCTACTTGTTTTACTTCTTCATCTTGTGTTTTCTTCACAGATTCTTTCTTCTGTTTAAAAAACCAAAAACAAATACTGGTGAGGGACTCTGGCAGTTTCCGGCAGTGAGGCAGGCACTAGGCATGGTATGGGCACAAAAATGGGCATATAGATGAATGGAAGAGAATAGAAAGCTCGAAAATGAAAACACAACCTTACAAAATCTATGGAAAGCAGCAAAAGCAGTTCTAAGAAGGAAGTTCATAGCACTACAGGCCTTCCTCAAGAAACAAGAAAAATCTCAAATAAATAACCTAACCTACCACTTAAAAGAATAGAAAAAGAAGGACAAACAAAACCCAAAGTCAACAGAAAGAAGGAAATAATAAAGATCAGAGAGCAGATAAATAAAATAGAGCTCAGAAGAAAAATAGAAAAGATCAACAAAACCAAGAGCTGGTTTTTTTTGAAAAGATAAACAAAATTAACAAACCTCTAGCCAGGTTCACCAAGAAGAAAAGAGAGAGTACCTGGATAAACAAAATAAGAAATGAAAGAGGAGAAATAACAACTGATACCACAGAAATATAAAAAAATCATAAGAGAATACTATGAACAATTATATGCCAACAAGTTGGACAACCTAGAAGAAATGGACACATTTCTAGAAACATGCAGCCCACCAAAGCTGAGTCAGGAACAAACAGCTAATTTGAACAGACCGATCACTAGAAGTGAAAGAGAATCTGTAGCTAAGAAAAGAACTCACTGCAAACAAAAGTCCAGGACCAAATGGCTTCACTGGGGAATTCTACCAAACATACAAAGAAGAACTTACACTGATCCTTCTCAAACTCTTCGAAAAGACTGAGGAAGAGGGAACACTCCCAAATTCATTCTATGAAGCCACCATCACCCTGCTGCCAAAACCAAAGACACTACAAAAAAAGAAATTTACAGGCCAATATCTTTGATGAATATAGCTGCAAAACTCCTCAACAAAATATTTGCACACTGAATCCAACAACACATAAAAAGGATCCTATACCATGATCAAGTTTGATTCATTCCAGGGTCACAAGGATGGCCCAACATATGCAAATCAATCAATGTGATACACCACATCAACAAAAGAAAAGACAAAAAACCCATGATTATCTCAATAGATGCCGAAAAAGCACATGACAAAATTCAATATCCATTCACGACAGAAACTCTCATCAATATGGGTATAAAGGGAACATATCTCAACATAATGAAGGCTATTTACAACAAACCCACAGTCAACATCATAGTCAATGGTGAAAAGCTGAAAGACTTCCCAAAGGAACAAGACAAGGATGCCCACTCTTACCACTTCTATTCAACATAGTATTGGAAGTCCTAGCCACAGCCACCAGACAAGAAAAATAAATAAAATGTACCCAAGCTGGAAGGGAAGAGTAAAACTGCCACTATTTGCAGATAACATGATACTCTATATAGAGAACCCTAAAGTCATAACACAAAAAATACTAGAACTAATAAATGAATTCAGCAAGATAGCAGGATACAAGATTAATACATAGAAACCTGTTGCACTTCTTTACACTAACAATGAAATTTAAACATGAGTTTAAAATCATGTCAAAACAAAAACAAAAACCTAGGAATAAACTTAACCAAGGAGGTAAAAGACCTATACACCGAGAACTATAAAACATTTATAAAGGAAACTGAAAATGATTCAAAGGAATGGAAAAATATCCTATGTTCTTGGATTGGAAGAATAAATATTGTTAAAATGGCCATACTACCCAAAGCAATCTACAGATTTAATGTGATCCCTATCAAAACACTCAGGACATTTTTCACAGAACTAGAACAAATAATCGTAAAACTGATATGGAACCAGAAAAGACCCAGAATTGCCAAAGCAATCCTGAGGAAAAAGAAAAAAGCTGGAGGAAAAATCTTCCCAGACTTCAGACTATACTACAAAGCTAAAGTAATCAAAACTGCATGGTAATGGCACAAAAGCAGACACATAGATCAATGGAACAGAATAGAGAGCCCAGAAATAAACCCTCGCACCTATGGTCAATTGATCTATGACAAAGGAGGCAAGACTGTACAATGGAGAAAAGACACCTTCTTCAACAAGTGGTGTTGGGGAAAGCTGGACAGCTACATGTAAATCAATGAAATTAGAATACTCCCTCAAACCATACACAAAAATAAACTCAGAATTGCTTAAAGAACTACATATAAGATACGACACAATAAAACTCCTAGAAGAGAACATAGGCAAAACATTCTCTGACATAAACCGTACCAATGTTTTCTTAGATCAGTCTCCCAAGGCAAAAGAAATAAAAGCAAAAAATAAACAAATGGAACCTAACCAAACGTATAAGCTTTTGCACAGTAAAGGAAACCATCAACAAAATGAAAAAACAACCTACGGAATGGGAGAAAATATTTGCAAACGATGCAAACAACAAAGGGTTAATATTCAAAATATACAGACAGCTCATAGAACTCAATATCAAAAAGGTAAACAACCCAATCAAAAAAGGAGCAGAAAACCTAAACAGATTTTTCTAAAGAAGGCATACATATGGTCAACAGGCACATGAAAAGATGCTCAACTTCGCCAATGATTAGAGAAATGCAAATCAACCACAATGAGCTATCACCTCACACTAGTCAGAATGGCCATCATCAAAAAGTCTACAAATAATAAATGCAAAAGAGGGTGTGGAGAAAAAGGGAACCCTCTTACACTGTTGGTGGGAATGTTAATTGGTACATCTACTATGGAGAACAGTAGAAGGTTCCTTAAAAAACTAAAAATAGAGCTACCATATGATCCAGCAATCCCACTCCTGGGCATATATCTGGAGAAAACTCTAATTCAAAAAGATACATGCACCCAATGGTCATAGCAGCATGATTTAAAATAGCCAAGACATGGAAACAACACAAGTGCCCACCAACAGATGATTGGCTTAAGAAGATGTGATATTTATACACAGTGGAATATTACTCAGCCATAAAAAAGAATGAAATATTACCATTTGCAGCAACATGGATAGACCTAGAGATTATCATAATTAGTGAAGTAAGTCCGACAGAGACAGACAAATATTATATATCACATATATGTGGAATCTAAAAAGTAATACAAATAAATCTATATACAAAATAGATTAGAAATAGAAACAGGCTCACAGACACAGAAAACATATTTATGGTTACCAAACGGGAGAGGGAAAGAGGGAGGGAGGAACAAATTAGGAGTATAGGATTAACAGATATAAACTGCTATATATACAACAGACAAACAACAAGGATTTACAGTATAGCACAGAGAATTATACTCAATATCTTATAATAATGTATAATGGAATGTAATCTGAAAAAAAAACTTAATCATTTTGTTGTACACCTGAAACTAACACAATATTGTAAATCAACTGTACTTCAATAAAGAAAAGAAAAAATAAAATATACAAAAATATCTTTTAAAAGCATCCTTTTTGAGAAGGAAAAATATAGAATAAGAAACATGAGTCTTCCTTAAAAAGGAAATATCTTATTGAAGTATAGTGGTCTTACAATATTATTTTCTGTGGTAAAATACATATAACTTAAAATTACCATTTTAAATTTTTTAAAAATTGTGATATACATAACACTAAGTTTACCATCTTAACCATTTTGACATGTACAGTTCTATAGCCTAAGTACACCCAAGGGAATTCGTTTTTAACCAAAGAGAAAACTAACACACCAAAGCACTTAAAAATTCCTTTGTTTCTTTGAGGACAACCTTCTGAGTGTTCATGAGAAAAATGAATTTACAACTTGGTGTGGCAAAAAGCCTCGTCAGCTGAGTCATGAAACAGGCTGAGGGGCGGGAAAGACGGGCCGTGCTTTGCTCTGCACCACAGAAATGCTTTTTTTCTCTTGTGTTTTCCTATAGAAAGATAAAGACTTTCTTGTGGTTAAATTATTTCACCACAAGTGAAATACGAACCTCGATGCTGTGAAACTGGTTTCAACCACCATCTTCACAGTTAGCACAGAAGATGGTGGTTAATTCATATTATGCACGTCACCTCAGATGCAACGAAACTTTTGTGGTTTCACTGTTTTCACTTTTTTTCTTACATTCTTTTCCTGCCTAGAGCTAAGCCCCCCTTCTTTAATATTAATATTATAATATTAATATTATAAAAACCAAAGAGCAGCTTTTGGTGTTTGAAATGACTTAAAATTTGCCATTGCCTTATTGAACCTGTTGGCAAGCCTGAAAATATCAAAATATCAAAAGTGCTGGTAGAAATTTCTAAGCTCAAACAGAAAAAAATTCAAAGGGAGCTTTGTTTGTCTTCCACACACATATTTTTAAATGATTTTAAATAATTAGAAAAATATAGCTACAATATTAAACTATGCTATCATAGCATACTGTTATACTAAGGATACTGTTGCTTAGGAAAAGCAAGAAGTTTACCAAGTGAGTCTACTTAAAGAAATATATTAAGTAAATAATAATTCGGGTGGTACTTGGCTGCTAAGTTGATACTCCAGTGTCTGAGAGAGCTGTGTTTAGTAAGTCTCACTCCTTTTTCATCCACAGTGTCATTATGTATGGGCACAGTGAGAAAGGAGACAAAATTAATGTTTCACAGAGTAATAGCAGATGAGAGCTGACCCTGGCCGCTGTTTTTATTCAAAGCAGCTAGAACACTCAAGAACTTGTCCCGAGTTTCTCTAAGGATTCCTCCAGAAAATTTACTTTTAGAAAAGTCTTTACAAGTTGATCTTTACTTTCTCTGTTTAGAAAACCATCATTTCTTCTTTAGAAGTGTTCTGCTGAAGCACACAGGTCCAGGATGAAGGCCAGGGAGTGGAGGGGCAGCAGGGCTGAGCCTGGACACTGGTCCAGACGCCCAGGGGCTGGGGTGTGGAGCCAGAGATGGGAAGACGGAGCTGTCAAAGGTCCCTGACACAAAGCCGCTCGTCCCGGGCTGCTGATGCAAATACTCCCACCAGCTCCCTCATCAGCCCCTCACTCCGTCTCATTACTGACTTCTGTGCATTCCTCCACCATGTCCAAGAGCTCTTGCCTCTGTGCCCTCCTACGTGCTATTCCCTCTGCCTGGAACACACTTCCCCAGCCATCCCCATCACTCCGCCCTCATTCTTCAGGTGTCTGCTCCAATGTCAACTTCTCTGGCCACCTCTATAAAATCCAATTCCCACCCTCCCTGCATTCCTCAGCTCCCTTATCCTGCGTGATTTTCCTGCAGAGCTCTTAGGACCTGAGTTCACACACAGATGTATCATCTGTCTCCCCATCAGGAGTAGAAGCTTTCCAAGGGCAGGGGCTTTATCTGTTTCGTTCACTGTGTCTCTAGTGCCCATAGCAGAGCCTGGCACGCAGAAGGAACTCAACATAGGTCGTCTGAACGAACACACAGATCTCCTGTCCTTTCTTCCTCACCTGCCCTCATTTAAAATGGCATAATGTAATCAGGGCAGGGTCACTGGGGAGTTCCTTTAGGGACTATTGCTGCTGTTTTATAAAGAGGCATGTATTACATCAGCGTCTGCACACCAGGCCCACAGCTCCAGACCTCCCCATGACTGACGCCTCAAATGTGCGAGCTCTCCAGCTCACACGTGGCCCTGCAGAGGAGTCCGGGCCTGGGTCACCACCCAAGGTAACCAGCCCCAGCCGCCTCCTGACAGCCTCCATCCCAGCCTGTGGCCCCCAGAACCTTCACTTTACAGCCTCATCTCTCACTCCACTTTTTCAGACCATCTGTGGGCCAAACCCTACAGGGTTTCCAGTCTCTGCCTCAGTTATCCTGAGCCGCATGTATGGTAACACGGCAGTAGGACGGAGGGAGCAGAGAGGTCCCTGTCCAGATGGACCCGGAGACCTGAGCGCCTGGAGGCCCTGCGGGCACCGTGGGCACAGTGACCCAAGCAGCTGCTCAGCGCAAAGGGACAGGCTCGAGAAAGAGTGAACATCTAGGGAACCTAATGTGAATTCACGATTTCTGCCAAGTTTCATGCTTCGTTTATCTCTCTCTGAAATCAGTCTCCCCAGCGTTCGCCTCTGTCCGGGATGCTATCTCACGTCAGATCTTCAGGGAGGAGTCCGATATGTCCTGACGAGCAGATACGTCCTGGTACATCCTTTCCATGATACTCAAGACTCTCCAACTCCAGATAAACAGGTAAAGATGAACAGCTGTGCTCACAAGCTTTTCAAAGATAGAGTTCACAGTCTGCTGCTTAATTTCATTTCTGCATGAGGCTAATAAAACAATTTGTGAAACATTAGTGGAACTGGCTCTGCACTTAGCCCCTGAGACGGAAGGTAAGTCTTTTACCTGGTGAAATCCATATTCCTTCATACGACTGATAGAATCTGCCAACATTTGGTGAATACTTCTTGAGGAACTGGAGGGCAACTAAAAATTAAATGAAACACATTTTTATGCCATTTAGAGCTGCAGTGCAATTCCAGAAGATAATCTGTTAATGCTTCCCTCATGTCGATGTTCCCAAATGCTGCCCCCCCCCCAACTGGATCCATCCCTTTCCCACCAGCAAGTGAGCTCCTGAGCCCATCCTGACTGAGGGGGCAGGTATATGAAGCCCCAGCCTCTGCACTCGGTAGGGTTAGAGATGAATCACTGCCCAGCAGCCAGGAGCTGGTGGTTTGCTCATGTCTTGCTCCCAGCTGGCCCCAAGGTCCCTGGGATGACTTTAAGACATCAATACTACTCCTTAATCTCAATTCCCTTCCTTCTCTCTTAATCCCTGCTCTACCCCAACCCGTGTTTTGGGTAGGACCAGAGAAACACCTTAGTTTCGGCCACTTAACTGCATTCGCCTCTCTCCCCTTCTAGGGCTGGAGACATACCTGGAACACCCAGTGCCTGGGAGCCCTGCCCACCCTCCCTGCCCACTCACATCCCCCCTGTCCCCCCACTTCCCCCACTTCCCAGTTCCGGCTTCTGCTGCTCTAGACGGATTTCCCAGGAGCCAGCTCCTGCCAATGGGATTCCTAGTTCTGCTGCCTGGATTCCCTGGGACCATCCTTGTGGGCCACCTGCCAACCCCTCTGGCTCAGTGACTGAGCTGGCACAGCACCCGGGGTGCCTCGTAAGACCAGGTCAGTTACACCGGCCCCAGTCACCCGGTCCCTGGCCTGAGTGCAGTCTGGGCCAAGGCCAGCATGGCAGCCATGTGACCTGTGTGGCCGATATTAGACACCCTCAACCCACAGTACCACGACTCACGAGCCTTGTGCCTGAGGACTCCTTCCTGGGTCCTGGCTTAGACGAGAAATTGCCTGCAAAGTTTCAGCCAAAGGTCTGTACCAAGATTCAGCGTGGAGCACAGTGGGTACTTTAGGGTCACTTCTATGCCATGAAACGAACCAGCATGGCTACCTCAATCCTGCCCCTGCAGTTAGGTGCCCATGTGAATAATTATCTCCAAAATAATACAGGTGATAACTGGTATTGGCCACTTCTATCCGGGCCCTTAAAACCTCCTTCACATGTGTCTCCAGGCCATTTCCCCCTTCTTTGGGCTGGAATGGTGTCAGCAGTCATGCTACTAGAAAAACAGCAGAGCCTCCAAAGCCTGAGTCCCTGAACGGCTGTGTAGACCTGAGCCTTCCTAGACCAGAACACCCACCCTGGACGTTACAAGGGAGAAAGATGAACTTCCATGATGTTTTGACCATTGCCTGTTTGTTCTACTCTATCTTAGCTGATAAAGCTGGCCATAGCAATCGCTGGCGGCCCTGGACTCCAGCTCTCTGCTGAGGTCATTTACTGATCACGGGAGTACAGTCGATGCTGATTTCCCTGATGGCTGAGGGTCACTGGAGCCTGTCCTGCCCAGGCTCTGCATCAGGGCCTTAGTAAGTATCATCTTTACTGCCCACAGCATTGCTGTTGGAGGGGCAACATTACGCCCATTCTCAGGTGAAGGAACTGAATCTCAGAGGAGTTGTGCAGCTTTCTGGGATCACACAGCCAGCCTGTGCCAGAGTTCACGCTTCTTCCACTATATCAATATTGTCATGACAGGGAAATAAGTTGCAGGTCAAAAGATTTCTTATACCTATTACTTGGCAAAGTAATGAATCCTATAGGTTTCACAATTGCTACCTGCCATATTCTGTCTCATTTTTTCCTTATTCTGATATTATAAAAGGATATGTAGCTGCCCTGCATCTAAAGCAGAATAGGACAATAACCAGTTCCTCTACCGATGAACAGATCAGAACTCTTCCAACAGGTTTTGTATGTCTGTCTGTTCAAAAGTCTGAGATGGCTTTGAAGGGCTCAGGCTTGTGGTCTCTGAATACATTGCCACTATAAGAACTGTGAACTGTAAAAGCAGGCTCACTCTCCCTTCCCTCAATGATATAAGGTCTGTGGGGCATTACTTTGCAAAAAGGATGTTTCTTCTATGCTGAAAATTAGGAGGCAGGTGACTGTGCTCCACGGATACCTCCTCAAGTGCTGTAGACAATGCTGCAGCCCCCGCTTCTCCACTCATGTTTCAGAGGGACCTGGGCTTTGCCACTAGCAGAGCTTTGGACCAAGGTTTCATCAGCAGCACCTCCACCACAATCAGCTCCTGAACAAACTCTTAGTTGTTTCCTGAATTAGCGTCAGGCTAATAGATATCTGACGTTGCTCTTCTAAGTCATATATCCCAAAGTGTGGTCTATTTTGTCAAGCATTTCCCCCCATCACTTGCCAATTACTGTCCTCTGCTTGGACATAAAACCTTCAACACACTGTACAAGTTATTCTTTGTCCCTTAGCAGTATTCCTTCAATGGAACTATCGATCTCATGTATACACACAGAAGTGTTTTCTCACCACTTGCTTTTTAAGAAATTACAATCTGGGTTTTTTCCATCATCATCATGTGCCCTCTCTCACTAGCACTTTCAACATGCTCACTGCTTCTTCACTTGTCAGATATTACAGGGTCATCAATATTGTTAAAAGAGCTCAAATCTAAGCACAGATGCAGGAACAAGACAATTTTCAGGACTTGGTGCCAGGGACTGAAGGGACCTCTGTGACCGTCAGCACCGCCTACTGGTGCCGCTCAGAGTTGACAGCCTTTCCTTGTCTGAAGGTTTAGGTTTTGTTTTTAGTACATCAAAGCTCACAAGTTGGTTCTTGAGTAGATAAGATTTAGCATAAACAGCTGATTAATTTAACAACCACCCCAGAGATCAGTACTTCTATTCAAATCCTTCCATGTGTCCAAAACATACTGTCAACTCTAAAACTATTCACACATACTAAGAACCACATTTATAAAAATTCTCATTTTAAGGGTGAGCGAAGATTTGCTCTTATTCCAAAATGTTAAAATAATATGAAGAAGTTAATCAAGACTTGCGTAGAGCTTACCCTTCCCCCTCTGCATATCCTCAAGTCCATTCTCTAGTAGGTCTGTGTCTTTATTCCTGTCTTACTGTGACAAAGCGAGAGAGTCGCATGGACATATATACACTACCAAACGTAAAATAGATAGCTAGTGGGAAGCAGCCGCATAGCACAGGAAGATCAGCTCGGTGCTTTGTGACCACCTAGAGGGGTGGGATAGAGAGGGTGGGAGGGAGGGAGACACAAGAGGGAAGAGATATGGGAACATATGTATATGTATAACTGATTCACTTTGTTATAAAGCAGAAACTAACACACCATTGTGAAGCAATTATACTCCAATAAAGATGTAAAAAAAAAAAAAAGACTTGCGTAGAGCAGTTCATTCAGATACACTTACATGCTTACAAATCCACAAAGCACACCATGTACAATGGAATAGACTGAAAGCAGTGTGAGCCAGATCTCCTTTACTAAAAAACAGCCAGATCCATGGCTCAAAAGTGATGATTCGCAATGTCAATACCAGAAGGAGACAGCCTCAGGAATAGCACTCTGAGCATCCCCAGCTCAAGGATGAAGAGAAGTCCTGAAGAGGGTGCCGGGCCCTCTCTGAAGCTTCCATAGGACGCTGGGTCCCAGGGAATAGACTCTTTAGCTATTCCAATTTGCAACACAAGGAAGGTTGGAAAACTACCCACCTCCCTGCATAATTTTTTCTTACAAAGAACTTTCAAGTCCATGCATCATTTGACCTTCATATCAACACCATAAGGGTATCAAAGCAGGTATTATCCCTTTACCAAAAATGTAAGGTGACCTGTTCATAGGTAGGAAAGCAGGGTCTGAAACCCTCGCCCTGCTCCTTCTGTGGGTTGTCCCGGAGAGAACATCTGTCTGCTCTCGTGCACAGAAGCCATGGCAGTCCCCTCCCACCTGCTGCATCACAGAGACTTCTGCAGCTGCTGAAGCCCTATGGGCAGAGTTAAAGCTATTGTATCCTCTACATATTTGTTTTATTTAAAAATGAAAACTGCCATGGAATATTTATGCAAAAGCTCCAAAAAAATAGAGAGAAAACTTGGAAGGCAACGACATCACAAGCTAGTGGACTCTCTGCAGACACCAAGTCAGAATGGTCCTCCCCAATCAATGTGGACCAAGGAGACCTGGGAGTGGAGCCCCTCCACAATGACCAAAGGATTTTATAAGTATATATAAATTAACATTAAACTTAGAAGTATGGCCATTCAAATCTATATAAGTAATGGGTAAACAAAAGACGCTGCCAGCAACATCAATATTATATGGTTACAAATTGTATTTCCTCCAGAGACTGTGTGTCATGTGAGAATTATTCTAATTATATTCACTTTTTAAACTGGTTTGAAAAATGGTTCATTCTGGCTTCTAACCTAATATTCACTCTGTTTAAAAGTAGGACTATACAATCAAACAAACATCAAGAGCCTTTGGAATAAACAAGAAAGCTCCAGTGAACAGAACATTTTTAGCCCTTATATTTTAATGGTGAAGAAGAAAATGATGAATTAAGGCAGGCGTCCCCAAACCGCAGGCCGCAGACCACTAAGGGTCCCTGGCCCGTTAGGAACCGGGCTGCACAGCAGGAGGTGAGCAGCGGGCTAGTGAGCGAAGCTGCATCTGCCGCTCCCCATCGTTCCCCATCACCCGCATTACCGCCTGAACCATCGGCCCCATCGCTCGCATTACCGCCTGAACCAACCTCCCCATCACCCACATTACTGCCTGAATCATCCCCCATTCACCCCCCATCCGTGGAAAATTGTCTTCCATTGTGGCGCAGTGGTTGAGAGTCCGCCTGCCGATGCAGGGGATGCGGGTTCGTGCCCCGGTCCGGGAAGATCCCACATGCCGCGGAGCAGCTGGGCCCGTGGGCCATGGCCGCTGAGTGTGCGTGTCCGGAGCCTGTGGCCACAACAGTAAGAGGCCCGTGTACCACAAAAAAAAAAAAAAAAAAAAAAAAAAAAAAGATATTCAGTCTAGTTTTAATACTAATA